CTCTCTCTCTCTCTCTCTCTCTCTCACACACACACACACAGACAGAGACACACACACTCTCTCTCTCTCTCTCTCTCTCTCTCACACACACACACACACAGGTATGTAAATTAGTGTCAGGTTTTTCACTATCAGTAACGCTGAGCTGGAGCATTATGGGTATTCTGTGTGTTTCAGATCCCACTTTCATCTTCACTTCCTTTTCTGAGAGTTTTTAAATCATCAGCTGCTGTCTCGAGTGAAATGATGATTATAAAACTCAGAGAATGAAGATAGCGATGGCCACTGATTTCATACATACACGAATCACTTCCACATCATATTTCAGTGACTAAAGCAAATAAAGTACTATGCTTTTGTAAATAGTTTTTTCAGTCAGTTCAAAGGCAGCACAACAAATACTTCCATGATGAATACATAACTGACCAAATATGATTGTTTTCATCCATTACAGCAATGAGAATGAGATCTTTGGCATCACTATGGAAGACCGTTTCTGCAACGAAATAAAAAAAAAAAATGAATTAAAATGATAATGGTGACTTTTTAATCTCGCAATTCAGACTTTTTTTCTCTCAATTCTGGTATAAAGAGACAAAAACGTGTAATTCTGAGAAAGAAAAAAAAATCCAAATTGTGAGGGAGAAAAAAAAGTGTTACCGCAATTATCTTATATACATATATATATATATTTTTATAATTGATAAAGAATCATAATCAAACTGAATCACTGTCAGAACTCCTTCAACATGCAAAAAAGTTACCGCAATTATTATATTATATATATATATATATATTTTTTTGTTTTGTTTTGTTTTGTTTTGTTTTTGTGTGGAAACAAAAAACAGAATTGCAAAATATAAACAGTTCCAAGTTTACATATCACCATTCTGTTTTTGTGAAACAAATAAAAAAGTATATATATATTTAGACGATTTAATCTTACAATAATTACTTTTTTCTCACAATTCAAACCTTTTTTCTTTTGACTTTTTTTCTCGGAATTCTCACAATTCTGTTTCTTAAGCAAAATAAAAAGATAACCGCACATTTTTTCTAACAACCACGAGTTAATATCTCACAATTCTGACTTTTTCCGATTTTTCTAAGGTTTGTATCTCGCAATTTCTGAGAATTTCTCATAATAAATGTCCAATTTGTGAGATAAAACGTTGCAATTACCTTTTTATTTTTTCATCCTGTGGCAGAAACAAACTTCCATACATTATAAGAATTGATGCAATGAGAATTCGGCCTAAATAAATTTAATAAAAATGAAGAATAATGTCGCAGTGCATCTTACTAATGGTACAAAAATCTGCCTAATTTTAAAAATAACTCCTGATTTTGGGCTGATATGTGTTCATGACAGGGATGCAGTAAATCACAGCTCGAAGCTGGGAGCGTTTGGGGGTCTGGCTACGAAGTGTGATTCTAGTATCGAGACAAACAACACAAGTCTGCGCTCTTAAAAACACTGTTTCTGGTCCATTCCTCAGCATCAGCACCTCACTGCACACAGCAGCAGCAGCAGACGGAGGAGCTCAGGGCTTTCGGGGGAATCAGGTCCAGATCTTCATCATCAGGTGTCTCATCCAGGTGATATCCATCCTTCAACAGCTGCCTGCTCAGATCTGGATGCACCTGCGGAGAAACCAGACGCTGCTATCACTGATCCCAAAGGTGTTCACTTCATAAAAACAAACCTTGTGAAGTTCATCATGTTATGTGCCTATTTAACCCTGTAAAGCCTAACATTTGTGACCCTGGAGCACAAAACCAGTCATAAGGGTCAATTTTTCTGAAATTGAGATTTATGCGCCATCTGAAAGCTGAATAAATAAGCTTTCCATTGATGTACGGTTTGTTAGGATCGGACAATATATGAAAATCTGGAATCTGAGGGTGCAAAAAAATCTAAATATTGAGAAAATCATCTTTAAAGTTGTCCAAATGAAGTTCTTAGCAATGCATATTACTAATCAAACATTAAGTTTTGATATATTTACGGTAGGAAACTTACTAAATATCTTCATGGAACATGATCTTTACTTAATATCCTAATGATTTTTGGCATAAAAGAGAAATGTATAATTGTGACCCATACAATGTATTGTTGGCTATTGCTACAAATATCCCCCAGCGACTTAACACTGCTTCTGTGCTCCAGGGTCACATATATTAGCGTCCAAACCAATGGTTGATAACGTTCTGGTTATTATAAATCATCATTAATCAGCTGGAAAATATAATTCTGAAACTTTTTAATTATAGTTATACTGTCCTTTATTTTGGCAAGACAGTAATTTTCAAAAACATGCTGAAGACACAAATGTGAATTTCTGAATGAAAAAAGGTATATATATATATATATATACACTGGGCATGAAATTAACATGGTACATAATAATAATAGTAATTCAAATGGATTATTATTTGATTTGCATTACCAAATCAGCTTCAAAGGCAGATAATAATCAAACATTTGCTAAAATTCAGCTCGATCAACAATGCTGTACAACTCTATAAAAAATTCTGCAGCTGTTTTTGTGATAAAAACTGTAAGCGTTTTAGAATTGATTATTAAATATCTGATCAGTGCACGATGATGCATATTCAAACCCTAAACATGAAGGCAACTAACTACCCGTTTACCAAACTATATAAAGTATTAACTCACCTCTGCTGAGGAATATCCAGATGAACAATCCAGCTCTGCATCACTGATGAAACCAAATCAATCAATCAATCAATCAATCAGCACACACGTCCTCTAATCAAACAGAACGGGTTTCTGGCCAATAACAGGTTTCCAGGCTTGTGTAAAAGCCCTTTAACTAACACCGAGCTCGTCCTGGTGGCTGGCGCACCTGTCTGAGTCCAGCGAGACGAGCGAATCCTCTCCCGTCTGACTCAGAGCCGCGTATCCCTGATTGAACCTCACACTGCAGAGAAACACACATCAGTCTGGACACGAGCCACTGAACAATAACACTCCTTCCCTTCTTTACAGTCCGTTTGTGAGGCTGAAGAGAAGTACAAGAGCTGTGATTGACTTAAAAAAAAAAAAATTATATTTCATTCAAAATTATATATATATAAATAAATGGTAACACTTTCTATGAAGCCCATATTTATAACACATTATAAGGGTATTCTTAAGGCATTAAAAAAAAGTATAATATGTTGTTTCATCTCATAAATAATCATAACAACAATTATAATACATTATAAAACGTACTTTTTTGTGGTTATAAATATTATGAGTATGATTATTTATAACACGCAATAAACACCATGTTAAAGCCACTTAATTTCTAATGGATTATAAGTCTTTTGACAGGATTTATTTAAGATCTGTACTGTATCTTACTGATTTTACAATAAATATAGTTAAAATCAAATGTGCCATATTACACATTCATCTGATCTTACGGCGGTTTAAGAAAAACTATTATTTTTATTATTATCTTTGTTGCAATTACTTACAGTATAAGTGGTCTTTGTCTGCTTTAAGTAAAGTAGCATAAGAAAGACGGCAAGATATGAGACTTATGATACATTATAACTATGGGAAATATAATCCTTTGTGAGTTAAGTGGATGCATTGTGTTCATTGTGTTATAAATCATCATAATCTTAAAAGCCATAACCACAAATAAGTAAATATTATAATGCATTAAAACTGTTGTAATGATTTATAATGAGAAGATACAACATAGTATAAGGTTTTTTTTATAATACATTATGCATTCATTATAATGCATTAAGAACACTCTTATAATGTATTATAAATATGGGCTTCATAGAAAGTGTTACCAAAAATATATTATATAGACATTAAAAAAAACTAAGAAAAATGACAAAAACACACAACAAAATCTCTAAAATGTTAACTAAAGTTAAAAAACGAATTCAATATATATATATACAGTAAGTATGCATATACACTTTTTATTTAGTTTTAAGTTTTAGTTTATTTAGTTTTAGTACTTTAATTTAAACTAACCCTATATGACAAATGTTGCCTTGGGAACTTGCTGAAATAGAATTAAGTTTTTTTCTTCTATTTCAGTTAATGTTTATTTTCTTTCAAGTAATGAAAATGTTTTTTTTTTGGTTTTGGTTTTAGTCAACGATAACAACCCTGATATGCAGTTTCATGGATCTATAAATTCACACTAATTGAAAAAGAGAGAGAGAGAGTGTGTGTGTGAGTGTGAGAGAGAGAGAGAGAGAGAGAGTGTGTGAGAGTGTGTGCGCGCGTGTGTGTGTGTGAGTGTGAGAGAGAGTGTGAGTGTGTGAGAGAGTGCGAGTGCGAGTGTGTGTGTGTGTGTGTGAGAGAGAGTGTGAGTGTGTGAGTGTGTGCGCGCGTGCGTGTGTGTGTGAGTGTGAGAGAGTGTGTGAGTGTGAGAGAGAGTGCGAGTGCGAGGGTGTGTGTGAGAGAGAGAGAGAGAGTGTGAGTGTGTGAGTGTGTGCGCGCGTGCGTGTGTGTGTGAGTGTGAGAGAGTGTGTGAGTGTGAGAGAGAGTGCGAGTGCGAGGGTGTGTGTGAGAGAGAGAGAGAGAGTGTGAGTGTGTGAGTGTGTGCGCGCGTGCGTGTGTGTGTGAGTGTGAGAGAGTGTGTGAGTGTGAGAGAGAGTGTGAGTGTGTGAGTGTGTGCGCGCGTGCGTGTGTGTGTGAGTGTGAGAGAGAGTGCGAGTGCGAGTGTGTGTGTGAGAGAGAGAGAGAGAGTGTGTGAGCGCGTGTGTGTGTGTGTGAGTGTGTGTGAGTGTGAGAGAGAGTGCGAGTG